GAGTATATAAACAAAGCCTTTCCCAAACCTGTGTTTTAGAAATCATCTTAGTATGTGTCAAGATAGTTTATCTAGTTGGCAATTAAATACCTGTTTCACCTACGCATAAATTGAAGCCGTGACATATATAAAATAAAAACTTCCAGATATTTATTTATAAATACAGACTTTTTAGTTTTATTTTTAAAGGAAAAACTTTTAAATTTTATAAATTTAAGTAAATAAATTTATAATATAATAAATATTTCATTAAATATAATTTTAATATTTTTTTACAAATAAAAAGATAAATTTATTTTAAAAAATTAAAGTTAGAAAAATAAGAAAAAAGTTTTATATAAATAAATATAAATAGTTTTTAATTATAAAATTATTAAATTAATAAATTTTTAAATTAATTATATTTTTATAAATATTTTATTATAAATATTTAAAGTAAAGTAATAATATATTTTAACTATAATTTATTTAATTATATATTAATTATAATTAATTATTATATATATTTTTTAAATTTTTAAAATTTATTTAATATTAAATGTTTTTTTTAATTTTTATATTATAATACTAGTAAATTTTTTTTTTTTTAATTTTGATTTATAATTTATTAAATAACTATTTTAGTCTTATTTTTTTGAAGGTTAACTCTTATTTATATTTGTATTATATACTCTTTTCAGTAAAGCTAAGTGCTTTTATGATTACAGTTGAAACAATGCAATTAGCCGCGCAAAGACGCGCGTGTAAATGAAGACAATGTTGAACGTCTGGTGCTTTGCGGTTTGCGTGGCGCTAGTCCGTAATAGGAAGCCTTGGCGTCCACAGAGAACGCCAAACTGCCTGAGACGCGTCAAATTAGAACTACAAAATATGACTACTAGTGGAATGGATTGAAATTCTCTTAGAGATTCGTAGAACATCATCCGTTGACTGGGACTATGGATCGATTAATTTATACCCAACAACAATTGTTTTGTCATGATACGCAGTGAATGCGTAAAAATTTTGTCATATCAATCTCTTGATTCTAATCTCTTCATTTTGTTATCCTCAAATTTGTTAGAGCCTAAGTTGTTGCTGCTATACTCGCAAGTTAGTTTTGCTCCCTATTAGCTATAAATAGTTATTCACTGGCAAGATTTTCTACAATTCCTCTCCTCGATACTGAAGGAAGGATACATGGCCTCCCCCACATCGCCAGCAATATGGCTACCGTCTCTTAAAGTACGCCAGCTTCAACGTCTTGCCTCCCTAACGGGGATATTGTCCTCAGGCGCCAAATCGATCCTGATTGAACGGTTGTATCAAAACCTCCATGTTAGTACACAACAACCAGTACACAATGTGAACCAAGAGGAATGTTCAATAGATGACAAAAAGACGGCAAGCATTCTAAGTATCGACATGGGCATTCGAAATTTGGCCTTCGCCCATTTAGTCGTTCCCGCCGCGGGACGCGCTGGCCGTACCAAGTCTGGGGAATTTAAGCCTCCTATTTTAAGGGCGTGGTATCGCCTAGCTGTCCCTTCCTTTGTGTCAAATCCTGACCGGGCTTTGAATTTTAACCTGGAGGATGAAATGAGAGCTAAGAAAAAAATTACTAAGGATCGAAAATCCAAGCCACTTAATGGACCTGATGCATCGTCAGGGTGTGATTCGACGCACGTCCCAGGAAATGGAGACGGAAACAAGGTGAAGCAAAAGGAATCATTTGCTCCCAAGGTCTATGCCGCACATGCTTACACGCTCATGTCATCACTTCTGGCCACATATAAACCAACACATGTCCTCATTGAAAGGCAACGATTTCGGTCTGGTGGAGGAAGCACCGTTCCAGAATGGACCATTCGTGTTGGAGTTTTTGAAGG